CTAGACGTGTAAAAAACAGAAAGTGAGGAGGAAGTGGCTTAAGTGTGACCTTTGGTCAATGAGAAAATAGTCAATGTAACTATACTAAAGAAAATCATTTTATACCGAGTCTACCTTAAAGATTAACAACATTGTTATTAATGTTTAATTTATACACAAAAAAGTATAATAAAAAGAGAACAGAAGCAGTTAAACATTACTAGGTTTTTAAATGCATTAATATGGTCAAAATTATAAACTATGTTCAAAATAAAGTAGTATTTCATTAAAAATTAACTTTCATGTAGATTCATCAATTGTAACAAATGTATCAGATTCTAGTACGGGATGTTGATAAGGGGAGAAGCTATGCATGTGTGGGGGCAGAAGGTGTATGGGAAATCTCTGTACCTTCCTCTCAATTTTTCTGTGAACCTAAAATTGTTTGAAAACATAAAGTCTACTTTTTAAAAAAAATTAACTTTCATGTTGTATTGATTTTATTTTTCAAACAATGAAATAAAGTGTTTTATCAATGGTAAATAAATCTGGCTTATCAACTACATAATTTATCAAATATTTTGAGGTTAAAGTACTAAAAAGGAAAAATAAAGAATCAAAGAGTTACCACATGATGATGGTTGACTACATACAAAAATAAGTCTAGGTGTGGTAAACATACTTGAGGATTAAAATATAAATAGTATTTATGACATTTATTTTAAAATCTAGGTACAGAATTAGATAACTTTGTTTTTTACCCTCTTACTATTTTATAATATCGTTATTAAAAAAATCATAAACATATTCTATGTAATTCACACTGTCCACAGTAAGTACTAAAATATACCTGGAGCAGAAGTTTGCAAATTTCATATTTTCCTTTTGCTGCAGCTTCATGTAAAGGTGTAAATTTCCATAAATCAGCTACATTAACTACTGCTCCATGCTTAACAAGAAGTTCTGCAACTTCATAATGTCCATAAGAACATGCATTGTGCAAAGGTACAAGGCCTCTGAAATGAAAAGTTAAATGAGCAATAATGCCAGAGAAAGATATATTTTCATTTAAGTAATAATATATAACTGATGAAGATATTTCTTGAACTGCATAAGGAATTATAATGATTGTACGTTATAGAACCTAAATCTATTGAAAGCAGAAATAAATTCTTTTTTGGGGGGGGTTAGGGAAAAAATATCTAAAATATTTTAAATGTAGAGAATATGACAAACATCTATATACTCAACATCTGGAATTATATTTTTTTTTTTTTGAGACAGAGTCTCACTCTTTTGCCCGGGCTAGAGTGCTGTGGAGTCAGCCTAGCTCACAGCAACCTCAAACTCCTGGGCTCAAGCGATCCTCCTGCCTCAGCCTTCCGAGTAGCTGGGACTACAGGCATGCGCCACCACGCCCGGCTAATTTTTTCTATGTATTTTTAGTTGTCCAATTAATTTCTTTCTATTTTTAGTAGAGACGGGGTCTCGCTCTTGCTCAGGCTGGTTTCGAACTCCTGAGCTCAAACAATCCGCCCGCCTCGGCCTCCCAGAGAGCTAGGATTACAGGTGTGAGCCACCGCGCCCGGCCTGGAATTGTATATTTTTAATGAAAAATAATTTCAAGATAAATTAGAAGAATTCAAATATCCTCAATGAAAATTTGAAAATTTGTTATATTAAAAAATCAGTACTATGTCCAAACAGCACAGTCAGTGGGACAGCAGACTTTTAATCTGAGGGTCCGGGGTTCATGTTCCTATTCAGGAGTGGAAAGAAAAAAAGAAAAAAACAAAAAACAAACAAACAAAAAACCCACCAATGTAATCTCCCTGGCCATTATAAAATTACAAGGAATTATGCAAGTAAGTCTTTATATAAATGCTAACCATCATAAAATCTTAACGGAAATTAAGCAGCTATATTTAAGTCAGTGTTAGGAAAAAGACTTCCCTGGGGAAAAAAAGAGCTACCAATTATCATAAAAATATTTTCAGATTTTCCTGAAGAGGTCAGATAAAGGTAAGGAAAGAGAGGCCACGACAATTGTTGGTACTTGCCCTTTATCTTTAGCGTGCACATCAGCTCCATGTTGCAGCAGATACTCTACCACAGACACTCTATTATACCCAGCTGCAAAATGGAGCGGTGTAGACTGACGCCCTTCGATGTCTCTGCAGTTGACACTCTGAACAGTACACAGTTTCTGCAGGATGGAACACAGTATATACATGATGCTATATATTCTCATTTCTTGTTTCAACTCATTTAGTAGAAATTTCAAAATGTCTGACTTTTCTCTTGTCTCATTAAATCAGTATTCTCAGAAACTATTTACTATTCTTATTTATTGGGAATCCCTCTGGTCCCTTCATCCATACCTGTATATTCTGCTCTTCCTAAAGCCTGGTAAATTTTTATCATTACCACTACTATTTACATAAAGGTAACCTAAGTACCAATTATCAGCAACTTTCATTTTGTGGCAAACATACTTAGAGGTACACTGGATCACAGTAGTACCGGCACCACCCAGGGGGGCTTGTTAAAAATTCAGAATCTCAGACACCTACTGAGTGAGAACCTGCATTTTAACAAGATCCTCAGGTTATCTGTAATCACATTAAAGTTTAAGAAGTACTGCACTAGACCAGTGGTTCTTAAACTTTCACATGCATTGGGCCCCACTCCCAAGTAATTCTAATTCAGTGTGACTGTTGTAGGGCCTGAAAATCTGCATTTCTAACAAGTTCCCTGGATGGTGCTGATGCTGGTGGTGTAGGAACTACACTGAGAGAATCATACTGCACTATATGGAATGAATTAATTAAGAGAATGCTAATGATTATGTACAGTCCTTGGGAGAACTAAGAAAACAGTCACTCAAATAATTTTCTGTGTTCTTTGGTTCAGATGAGGAAGCCTACTTGAGAAAGACTGTTAAGAATGACACTCAAAATACTTACTTAAGGGTATTTTGCATGAAAAGCATGGAAGTTTGGGGAAGAAAATCAATATACATAAGAAATCACAGTGCTCAGAGAGTCAAAAGAATATCAGTATTAGTAAAAACTCTTTCCCTCTAAGCTATCCTAAAAGCAGACATTATCCTAAGCTCAATAAACCAAAAGAGCCAGCTATCAGTGCGTTTACCTCAAAGGGGTTTAATCACTGGACTGGGAAAGCTCTTCTGTGCTACCCAAACAAGAGCTTCTTAGATATACAGACTCAGAGTCCCATTCAAGAGATTTCAGTAGGTATGAAGCAGGGCCCCTGGGAATGAGTATTCTTAACATAGGTACCAAGTGCTGCTAGGCTTAGTATTAACAGTTATCACAGGGCATTCTATCCCCTACATCTCAGTTTAAGTTTGTCACTCTGAGATAGGTCTTCTAATAGTAGGTGCCCAAAAAAGTACTTAGCCTGATGTTTTAAAGTTGTACCTTAGAACAATGACTAAACAAACGTAACTGGGTACATATTTTAAGTATTCATTGGGTAATATGCAGATGTTGTGATTCATACAGAGTGATTCATACAGAGTCATCTGCCTAGAGACAGATAGGAAATGGAAAGGCTAATGGAGATAAATTTCCATTAAGTGATTTTAAAAGCAGAGGGGAGGGAAGACAGCCTGATACCTATCATGGGGAGAGATGGTCTTCCTCAAGCCAATAGCATTATTTGTTTATCAAGTCTTGCCCCCAACCTCATCTCCTCTTCATCTCCTCCTCCAGACTGCCTCTATCTTCATGAAAACGAAGTTTAGAAAACTTTGTTTACTAAAGTTTATTTAGAAAAAAACTTCATTTACTAAATCTAGTTTTACGCTCTTTGAGTGAATGAGGACTTTAAATTTTGTATTACTCTCCTTGCCCCCACACACAAAAAATCAGCTAGTTGCCCTTTAACTAGTTGTCTTTAACTTAATTTTCACCACATCTCTTGCAAACAAAAAACCCCCAACTCACTACCTTTGAACTCATGTAACTTGTTTTTCCATAAGTCAGTAGTAACAAACAAAATCCTCCTTTCAATATCCTTTTTGCCTCCTACTTAAGGGAATGCGAATATAAAGGATGAGAATAAACAACTCAAATAAATTTGCATTATCGTAGCATTTTTTTTTCTTTCTTTTTTTTTTTTTTTTGAGGCAGGCTGTTGCTCTGTTACCCAGACTGGAGTGCAGTGGTACAATCATAGCTCACTGCAGCCTCAAACTCCTGGGCTCAATGGATCCTCCTGCCTCAGCCTTCTGAGTTGCTAGGACTGCAGGCATGAGCCATGCCTGGCTATTTTTTCTATTTTTTGTAGAGATGGGGTCTTGCTATGTTGCCCAGGCTGCTCTTGAACTCCTGGCCTCAAGTGATCCTCCCACCTTGGCCTCCCAATGTGCTAGGATTACAGGTGAGAACTCATTATCTTTGAAAAATTAATTAATAAAAAAGAAAATCTTAAGTTATTTGAGATGTCAATACTATCTATACAGATAAAGTAACAGAAAATGATCACATAGATTTTTAAATCAATTATTAGAAAGCTCTTCATTTAAAAAGACAATGAATAAATTCCCTTGAAGCTTCAGTTCAAATAAGACCAACATTCATATTTCTTTCTCAGAAAATCTAAAATTACTGACTTTGTGGAGTGGGTTTGTTTACGACTGAAAACATTATGCAGAAATAGTGAAATTATTTCGAATCGCTACTTCTGCCATAAATTAAATCAATAAATTTAACTTTTTCATAAAACTCTTTATTACCTGTCAGTGCCCTCTCAAATAGCACTAGCACAATCTGAAAGTCTCCTGTAGCAGTTTTCCTAAAGTAATCCTTCCTCGGATTGTTTTTTGACTTTTAAAAAATATTGAAAAATATTTCAGTCTACACAAATTGAAGATTATTGGAAGATAGTGACTTTGAGAAGTGGCAACACTGTATTACTGCTCTACTAAAATATTGAATCCTCAGAGGTAGAGGAGGCAAAAAAATGAGGAAATCAGAAGAAATCTGTAGACAGAAGTGACATACTGTTTTTTCCCTTTTTGTTTTATGTATCATATGTACACAGTAAGGTACAATAATTTGATACACTTTATTCTTTTACAGGGACAAATGACTAGGTTCTTTAAGCAAAACCCATTTGGTATTACGAGTTTATTTAAATTTGTGAATGTGATATTTACTCAGATGCATGTGAAACTGAAACATCTTTTTCTTTTATTACTCAATGCTCCTTATTTGCAGAGAAGAACTAGATTATATTATTGACCTTTTAAAGCAAGGCACATATAAATAAACAGGCTCTTCATTATAATAGAACAGATTCATTAAACAACGTCAAAATAAAAATCCAAAGTTAACAAAAACATAAGATTGCATCTTACTTTTACAGTCTCTACATCTCCAGCCTTTGCAGCTTCCAGCAATTGTCTGTCTGCTTCTGAATTACCTAATGGGATACCCTCTAGAAAGAGAGAGGGGGAAAGAGTGATTAAATTCTATTTAAAAGATGGAGCCGAGCTTTGTGGGAGGCATCTTATTGGAAAGTAAAGTTCTTTTACAGTTTGGTAGATTACGTAGGAAATCTCCATGGCAGTGGGGGAAAATACAGTAAGATTCTCTTAAAACTTTTTGAAACATAATACATATAAACAATATATGTAAATGTATACAATGTTATAAATACAAAGTGTGATTTAAGCAATATGAAGGAACATAAAATAGATGATGAAAGAAGGCCTGCTCTATAACCACACCATGTGGAATGGTGGAAAAGTATTAAATTAGGAGAGCAATGGCCAGAAATCTAACCGTGGTTCTACGATTAACTATTACAGCTATCTGAACTGGAACAAGTCACCTGAACTTCCTGGGCCTCAGATTTTTTTAGTTCTAAAGAGAGAAGATGGACCAGAAAATATTTAATGTCACTTCCAGCTCTGAAATTCTGTTTACAGTTCACTTAAAATCTCAGAAAAAGAAGAGAACATCTATCTTGTACTTTAGGACAAAATTAATCCATATGGATTAAAGACTCAGGTATAAAAAAATTAAACCTTAAAAGTACTAGAAGAAAACAAAGGTGAACATTTTTATATCTTGAAATAGAGAAGTAACTTAGAGCAGTAACATCAAAGACAGAACCAAAAAAGAAAACTGATTTGGAAAAACATGTCAGGCAATAACAGTGTTAAAGAACAAAATGGAAAAAATCATATTGTAATATGCATCTCAAAAAAGAATATATTTAATATACAAGGTGTCTTTATGAGATAAATACCCTGGAAAGCCTGAACAGACAAATTGGGCTAAGGACATGAACAAGCAATTCATACACACTCAAAAGAGAATTGGCCAATAAACATACTATTAATAAAATATGTTCAAACTTACACATAATCAGAATTACAAATTAAAATGAGATACCATTTTTTGTCATACACTAGTAGGCAGAGAGGAAACGGGGAGTTACATAGACAGTATTTCTATAGTTTGCACTAAAAACGGATTTTATCACTTCTGTAATTCACCCATGTACATTCACCCAGGGAAAATATTAAGAATCATAATGCCCAGTGCTGACGGAAAACAGGTGCTTTCCTACACTTTTATGAGAGTGTAAAACGGTACATACAACCTTTCTAGAAGATAATCTGACAATTATATGCTACCCTTTGACCTGGAAATTCCACTTCAATAATTTATTCTAAGAAACTAGTTGGAAAGGTAAGTAAAGCTGTATGTGATAGTACTTAGCATAAAACTGGCAAGACTGTAAATTCTATCACTAGGCAACCAGATAGGACTAGTGTTTTTACTCCCCAAACTGACACTGAAATGAATGTTTAATATATGGGTAAGTAAAGGAATCTTAAAAGTAGCCTTGCAGTTAGTTCTGTTTTGGCAAATTTCAGGAGGTTTTATCTGTCTGCCTTCATCTGTTTAAGCAGTGTTTTCAAAAATGTGGTTTCTATACCACAGGCATAAGGATCACCGAGAATGATTGTTAAAGACAGAAAAGGTTGATTTATTACACTTCTTCTCATCTGAGCTTTGAGATGTCAAAGCTACTCCATTAAATTCTAATAAAAGCTAGAGATGTAGACAAAGATACTTTAAAATTTATAGGATCAGATTTCTAGGTTGAAATGCTTCATCTACACCATGTATACAGATATTCGATCTAAATATTTTAAAATTTACTGAATATGAGTGTATTCAGTTATTTAATATTTATGTTTTAGTAAGCCACATAATTTATTACCTTATACAAACTCTACATGCCTTAAATATGCAGGGTATAAAAAAAAGTGAAGAAGCTGAGCCAGTATTTAGGATATTAGTTTCACGAGGTTTGCTATACTAAGAGATACCTACCTTTAAAATATTTCTTTAAACAGAAATGGCAACTACTGTATCTTATTCTAAAAAGCTTTCTTGATAAAAATGTGAAAGCCAATCTATTTAACTCAGAGAAATCAGGCAGAAAATGCTACTGAAACATCATAATTATCATTTAATGACATTTGGGCATTGACTATTGATTAAAAGTACAATTAGTTTAGAAATAGCCAAAAATTCTCAAAAATTTTCTTTTTATTACCACCTCCTACCTGTAACACCTGATATGTGAAAAATTTTAAAGGTAAATTTTAAAACATTAACTTCATGGAAGCATTTAATACCTTGAAGTAGTTGCTGCACGTTTTCATTTCCCATCTGTAAGGCAGTAAAGCCCTGAAGGGATATAATGTTAGGATCACACCCATAGCTCAGGAGTAGGCGGCAGGTTTGTAGATGACCACAATGAGCAGCTCTGTGCAGAGAAGTCTGACCAAGATTATCCAGAGCATTGACCTTAAAAATGCAGAAAAAGTTGAAATTAGCCTACAATGCAAAATTTAAAACCATCCAATCATGTATTTAATACTTGCTACTAATTTAAGTCTCAATTCTTTCATGAAGTCTATTATCCAGTGCCAAAGCAAGTATTTTTGCTTAAATCTAGAGCATAAATTCACCAATCCATGAAGGCTGACATCAGAAGGAAGATCTAATTTTGGGTTTAAGGTGAGATGTTGAATACCAGTTGTGTTTAGCATTAAAGCATTCACAGATTCACTATATTTAGAGCTACACATTGTCTAAAAAAGTTGAATCCATGTATTTTTATGGATCTGAAGTGTAGAAATGTGGCGATTAACCCAAAGATAGACAACATCACTAATAAAGCCGGAGATAAATTAGCATTAAAACACTTGTTTCTATTGGCTTAATTTTCTACATTAGGCAAAGTATAATCTTTATAGATAAACATTCTATAGTATATTCATACAGCAGAATACTTCTCAGCAATAAAAGGAACAAATTATTGATACACAGATGAACCACCAAAATATTATATGGTGTGGAAAAAGTCTACAAAAAAGAGTGTATTTTGTATGATTCCTGGATATGAAGGCTTATAACAGGCAAATCTTACCTATGTCAGAAAAAGTCAAAATGGCTGTTACCTCTAGAGGTAGAGTCTGCCTGGGACAGGGTATTACCTCTGCCATGAGATAATATTCTATATCTTGATAGAGGTTTTGGTATATGTATTCATCAAAATTTAGCAAATGCACATTTAAGGTTTGTACATTTCATTGCACGTAAATTTTATATCCAAAGAAAAACTATAAACAAATACCAAACTCTAGCTGATGTACATATACAATTGTTCAGGAGGAAGTGTAAAGTAATCTTCAAATTACTTTGAAATGTGAAAAAGAAAATATATTGATAGGGAGAGGGAGAAATTGATATGTAATAAAACAATATAGTAAAATGTTAGTGACAGAACCTAAGTGGTGGTTATATAGTTACTCTCCGAAAAATTCTTTCAACTTAGATGTATCTTTGAAATTTTTCATAATAAAAAAAAAAAATCAACTGTAAGACTACCCCATCTCATCCCCACCCCACCATCCTTACCATCGAAAACAATTCTTCAAAATATAACTGAGAAATTAAGCTCCTCAGTAATCAATACTGTGGACACTACTGTGTTTTGAGACACTGGCCAATTCATAATCATGGAATGAGAGAATATTTCAATAGCAATATAGCCAAGACCCACTCAACGAATCTAAAACTTGAGTTTGAATAGCTAGTCTCCATGTGCACAGAACCTGAAAAACTGATTTAAAATGCTCAGGGCAATTAAATTATTTATTCACATACCCAAACTCACTGAAATGTGAAAAATATCCACTTGAAAACTTTATTTAGATACTACTTTGTGTTAAGATTAGGGTGACCAACCTGTCCTGGTTTGCCCAGGACTTCCCCAGTTTTAGCACCGAAAGTCCTGTGTTCCTGGGAATTCTCACTGGACAAATCTGGACAGTTCATTACCCCAGTTGAGATTGTTTCGTTGAGTTTCACAACTCAAATTTAATATGCATCCAGATACTCTTCAAATAACGTACCATATGTATGAAAAAAGCAATCAACGAACAGTTATAGAACAGAGAGACAAATGAGATATGCCAAGCAGTCAAGCGGAAATAAACTTTATTTTATTCAATAATTTACAATAGGAAAGATCAAGATTATACATTATCAAGAATTCCCCAAATCAAAGAGAAATTAGGACACTGAGAGGCAACACAAAAAGAAACTGGAAAATTCTAAGTGGTTCCTTTGAGTGAATGGAAATCCAAGAAAGGACAGATGAAAACTATTCTGCAAAGTTCACTTAGGGAAGGGCCTCTGGGGCCACCCAAGGAAAAATGGTCTCTATTCCTTTCTTCTCCCTTCATCCAGAGCAGGTCCATTCTTTCTCTGTTATACAATATATTGAGTTTCAACTAAAGATTCTGTCCGAAGAAGCCAAGGATTTGTGGCTAAAAACTGTGAAAACTGCTGTATTAGGTGAATGTCATCTCTTTTCAATCTGGGATGCTATGTATATCTTTTACTGAGGAGCATTTTTAAAAGTTCCTAGGTAAGAAATGATTTCTAGCCTTGATGAAAACATAATTATTCAACGAATAAAATGCTTTGTTCACAAAAGCCAATTAAAGAATAGTGGGGAGGTATAATATTTTTAGTCAAATTATTTAAATAACTTATTTCCTTTTGTTCAAGTCTTTTGACTTAGTTACAGAAATAACAGGGGGAAAGAAAAATTGTGGCTGGGGTAAATAACAGCCATGGCAACCAAGAAATAGAAGACGTGGGTGAGAAAAGACTACTAGGTCAGAATCAGTATGTCTCCAGCTGGGGATATTCTGGAGTGTGTACTTGTTAGAAAAAGTCCTTAAAAATATCTTCAACCAGTGGGGTGTGGTTAAAGTGAATGGAGAAGGAAGGACATATAGGAATAAGGTATATTTGAACAAACCTATAGATTTTCTAACAAAAAATTAGTTATAGGAGAAGTTATTTGCAGGACTATTTTTAAGTGTAGATTAAGAAAAAAAGTAATACTTATGAGAGAGTAAATAGTTTAGGAAGTCAGGCATTTCATCTGCTAAATAAAAAAATAACTTATTGGATTACCAAAGATACCAAAAAGGAAGTATACCTTTGCTTCATGTTTCACCACTACTTCGACAACATCATTATGAGCTTTCTCAGATGCCACGTGCAGAGGAGTCAAGAATCTTAAAGAGAAAAAGTCAGCCAGACAATAAAGATATTTTCCAGAAAACAAAATGTCAATAATATTTAATTATTAAGTATATACTTACTCTTTAGTCTTTTCATTGATGTTTGCTCCTTTTCTTAGCAACAGTTCACATATTTGCTTTCTTTTGGGATATGGAGATGCAGCAGCACAATGCTAAATAATTTAAATTGCAGCATTAATCAAGGACCATACATAACTAATTTTTACTTAAGAACATTTGTGTTTCCAATCAAGAACAATCAAGAAGTTATTTAACTTCTTTGTTTTATTTTTGATCTAACTTTGCTCTTGACTTCTAATTGGTCAGAATGTACAGTAATTAACAAATTCTGACAGGGCCTGAAGATCTTATCTACCAGATGATATGTTATTAAATATTCTGATCAAACTTTATAGTTGTCCTACATCTTTGAAAAAGCCATTACTGAGTGAAAAGTTAAATTACTGTGACCAATATCCTTTTCAAAACTCTTCCCAAACAGCCTGGTGTTTATGTAATGTTTGAAAGGTTAAGAAAACACCCCAAATGTCAGGGTTTCTTTAAATGAAGAAATAATAGAATATTCATCAGCTCTGGACTCTGCTTGGAAATGGCACTAATGGAACAGCTGTTAAGCTGAGTGAGCAGTATTTACATCTCTCCCAACTAGTTGCTCCAGCATAATTAAGAGCTTGGATTACCTGTTTGGCAAAATCAGTGGTAGAAAATGATACAATGTGGAGTTTGAGGCTATAGCATCTATATCTATGATGTATTGAGCAGGAAAGGAGCTAGGACGTAGGCATTTGCCTAATATGTTATCTTATGGTCATGGCCCTTATCTTTGCATCCCCCACATCAGGTGTTCAATAATGTCTGAATGATGAATGACTAAATCAATGTATATATGTTAAGTTAAAACAGAAACCTAAAAATCCATGAATAAAAGTTCTGGGTCATTTTTCAGCAAATTACTCTATACATCTAAATATACAGTATACATGAAATTTGTTCTCTCATTTTAACCTGTTGTTAATCATAAGGCTTATCTGATCCTCATGACTTTGCTGCAGATCCATTCTTTGATGTTGCTATCACCAAAATCATTCCTTTACCCTCAATAAAACCAACTCTAATTGGTGAACATAGCTCCTTTGGTATGTTAAGGGTAATTAAGGGTAATCATCCCAGGACATCTATCCGGAGAGCAAAGAGAATGGAAATAGTTTCTTTCCAAAATTCTTTATCACATCCACCTCAAATTGCACCCTACCATTATGGCGCAGGGCCTGTAACCTCTGGGAACCTGGAAGAAACTGCTCCTGCACCGTAACTACCAACTAATACTTAAACTCCTAGTATGTTTTAAAATCAATAATAAAAACGAGTTGTTTAACAGCACGATATTTAGGGGAGAACAATATGTAGTACGTATTAGCTTTTCAGACCAGAAAATTTTCCATGATGTCAGTCTTTCCAAGCTTTTCTGTACAGTTTTAACGCTGTTGTGGTTTTAATTTCGCGCTAGCATTTCTTATTAGTCTGTAGCTTTGCTATTTTTTTTACTTGAACGTTTCTTACAAGTAGCAAAAAAGTCCAAAATGTTTTATAGATAGGTTTCTACATAAATTTTACAGAGTCTACATTATGGCATAAGGAAGAAAATTTACCATAAAAGATAGTAGCTTAAGTAAGATTACCATGAGTTAAATCTGTTCCTAAACACATTAATTTACTTATCTTCCTCCACCCAAAGCATGTTCTACAATTCATTCAACAGGACTTACCTTTTTCCTTTGAAATTTTTACTTTTAAGGTAGTCCCTAATTACACCATTTCCTCTCCTACCTCCCCATCACTTATCCTAGCTCCCTTTCCTTTCTGACTGCTTTTCCTTAGACTTCTCTACTCACATCCACTTTGTTATGGCTCCACAATTATTATTACCTCTATCAGGCAAGTAGCCTTTAAAATACTGTCTACACATTAGATCTAATTTTGAAGAAAACTGCAATACTGGAAGGACATATACAACGTGGCTTTTGTATGAATGGCTGTATTATTTTCTTTTTCATTATTTCAGTGGGTTCCAAAATTTCTACTATTAAGCATTTATAATTTTTATAACCCCTAAGAAGGCAAATGGTATGTACCATTTACATATAATATATGCCAGAATATGAATAATTTTTTTTTCTGGAGGGATTCTCAAACTAATAATAGTATTGCCTTTTGAGGGGGTGAGGTTGTCTATTTTTCTGTACTGTTTGAAATGTTTTATGTATGTATCAGCATTAATTTTTTAAAAATCACAGATTTTAAAACAATGCTATTACTAAAGTAAGACATTATGATTAGTTTGGCATGTTTTTGGTTATTGTATTTTAAAAACTTAAATCTGAAACATTACCAATGCTGTTTCATGTGTTTGAGGATGTTTGAAATTCACCATTTCCAGAGAGAGATGTTTTTTGATTCGTGTAACATCAGCTTCCCGTGCAGCTTGTAGCAACGAGTGGCCTTTAAATTCATCTAGACGAAGAAAAAGCATTTAAACCTATGAGAATTATCAAATTGATGGTGGGGGACTTATCTAGCATTTTCCTCGAAATTGTTTTCAAAATAATTTTCCAAATTAGCCAGAAAGATGTTCTCCAAATATAACTCCTGAAAATGGAGACAGTGGTACCCTAGTTCCCCTCGGTCATGGCCCACTTCATTCCTGAGTATACACAGATTTAGCCCATGGCAGACTCATGGTCTGCTCTAATTCATAATTGGTCTAGAGATACCTGGAGTATTGCACTATATTCCTAGACCAGAGAGTTCTCAGAATTGTTCAAAGCACAAACTTTTCTCAGTGAAGAAATAAAACAAAGGGTGATCATAATCCCTATACTGTCGTTATGGCAGTAGCAGATGGCTTTGCTCATACCTATTAGAGAACCGGGAACTAGACAAGTTGGATATTTCTAAGTTACCTACGATGATCGAATTTAAGGGTATTTTCTCAAGATTTCTCTTTTCCTCATCATACTTGTGAAACTGCCCATTATCCTTTATTATTCCAGAATAATACAAGTCCAATACAATTTGCCTATTTATGTTCTTATTTACAGTAATACTGTATCTGAACGAGGTGATTATTTCTCACTGTATCTACTTCAGCTACAGACAGAAAACTGTAGGACTTGGCCCAGGTACCAAAGAACATTGGACATTAAGATCTGGAGACTATGTTTATAAGACAGTAATCTCAAAAATAACACTTTAAGTTCACAGCTTCATAAACTTCATGGATCAACCAGAAAGTCATGTCAAAGATAGGAATAATCCAAATGCTTTTGTTTAAAAGCATACCATCTAATAAGACAGTCACATAAAATGCATATGACTCGACTTGAAAAAATTAATCAAATATATTTTCTTTTCACAGTATCTAAAGTAGAAACTTCCAAATTATTAAATATGTTAGTCTAAACAACAATAGATACCCATGGCTAAGGAAAATATTCTATTTAATCATTTCTAAAAACAAACAAGAAAGAAAAAATGTTCAGTTTATTGATATAATATCATAGCTGAACATTCATAATTTTATACTCACATGCTAATCTTTCTTTTAACTGTGGTGTGGGAGCCAAGTCTATAGCACTTTTATTGTGACAATTCAGCAGTGTTGGATCTGCACCATAACTTAAGAGAAGAGAACACACTTCAACCCTGTTTTTAGAAGCTGCCTCATGAAGAGGAGTGAATTGCCACAAGTCCATTGCATTTACACAGGCACCGTGCTGGGGAGGAAAAAGAATAAATTTAATGTTCAATTTTTAAGAGAATTTAGAATGATTAGTACTGTGTAATTTAGCGTTATGCAAGCTTAAACAGGTTGTTTCCGAAGTTCACTTTTTAAGCTAATTATTTCAGAAAGTATACATTTCTCCCAACAGAAAAATAGCAGCTGATTGCTAGTCCTGCCCACAGAGCCTATTTAACTCTTTTATTCAGAATAGTTAAAAATTAAGCTGTAGGCCAGTCACAGTGGCTACGCCTGTAATCTTAGCACTCTGGGAGGCCAAGGTGGGAGGATAGCTTGAGGTCAGGAGTTCCGGACCAGCCTAAGCAAGACGGAGACCCCGTCTCCACTAAAAACAGAAAAATTAGCCAGGCATGGTGGCAAGCGCCTGTAATCCCAGCTACTTGGGAGGCTGAGGCAGAAGAATTGCTTGAGCCCAGGAGTTTAACGTTGCCATGAGCTAGGCTGATGCCATGGCACTCTAGCCCAGGTGATAGAGCGAGACTCCTTCTCAAAAAAAAGAAAAAATAAAGAAAAAGAAAAGGAAAAAGAAAAAAAATTTAAGCTTTAGGTTTAACCTCTATCTTTTTTTTCCAAGACCTAATTTTTTCCTCTTTTTGAGGTATAATTTATACATAGTAAAATGCAAAACTCTTCAGTGTGTAGGTTTGATGAGTTTTGACAGATATATATCCATGATACCATCACCCAAATCAAGCTATATATAGGCCACTTTCATTACCCCAGAATGTTTCCTCATGCTCCTTTTATAGACAATTCCTTGCCCCCATTCTGACTTTTAGCACCGTGTATTAGATTTACCTGTACTTGAATTTCATAAAAAGGAAAGAATATACATTTCTATAATATATACTTTTCTATCTAGCTTCTTTCACACATATAACGTTTCTGAGATTCATTCGGGTTGCTGTGTATCAGTTCATTTTCATTGCTGAGGAATATTTCATAGTATAGATATATCATAATTTACTAATCTATTATCCTGTTAATGGACATTTGGACTATTTCTAGTTTTTGACTATAGGTTGAGTATCCTTAATGAGAAAACCCAAAATGTGAAATGCTCCAAAACCTAAAACTTTTTGACTGCAGACACGACACCACCAGTGGAAAATTCCACACCTGACCTGATGTACACAAACTTTGTTTCATGCACAAAAATTATTAAAAATATTGTATAAAATTACCTTAAAGCTATGTGTATAAGGTGTATGTGAAACAAATGAATTTCAGGTTTAGACCTGGGTTCCCTCCCCAAGATATCTCATTATGTGCTATATATGCAAATATTCCAAAATCTGAAAAGATCTGAAATCTGAAATACTTCCAGTCCCAAGCATTTCGGATAGGGGATACTCAACCTGTATTATGAATAAGCTGTTATAAATATTCCTATACAAGTCTCTTTATGGACACATGTTGTCATGGAAGATATGTTTAACTTTATTAGAAACTGCCAAATAGTTTTCTAAAGTAGCTATACTATTTTACATTGCCACCAGCAATGTTTGAGTTCTAGTTGCTCAACATCCTTCCTGACACTTTGTGTTGTCAGACTTTTTAAATTTTAGTCAGTTCTAAGTATTGGAGTGGATGGACCACAGAAGTCACACTAGTTCAACCTCCCATCAAACAAAATCCCTTCTATAGAATTCTTGACAGAAGGTGAACCAGTTACTTACTCTTTTAGTACTTTGAACAATGGGGAGCTAATTCTTAGCTAGCAAGGCTTTTTATAATTACTAGATAATTCCCGTTGTTAGGTTCTTGTACATTAAGTTGAAATGTGCACTTTTAACTTTAATCCATTTGTTTTGTCTTTTTTGGAGCAAAAGAGATCAATACTCTTCCTTGCAGCACTTGAAGGCAACTCTTATGTTTATCTTTTTCAGTCTAAATATCTAGACTAAAGTTCTTCATTCATCCTTCTATACTTATCCTGGTGGCTCTCAACTAAATATACTTTAGTTTAAAAATTAATTTAAAAAATACTGAGAGCCTAAAACAATAGATTCCAATGTGGGTTGACTGTGTGGAGTATAGTGCATCCATTATTATATTTGCTCTTGACACTATAATTCTACTACTGGCATAAAATTATTAATAAAATAGCTTTTTAAGTAGTCACATCACAATTTACACATAAACTGAATTAGTGGGTAATTTAAAAGTGCTAGATTCTTCTTATTTTTAGAGACATCTACTTTCTTTCTCCTGACTTTTCTGAACCTTACTAGGCTGGTATCTGCTTGCACCCTCATCTCAGCTAACTCATTCTCTGAGTATAACCTCTAGCCAGCCTTCCATTCTTATTTAGTAAAACACTAGGTCTTAGGAAAACACCACCCAGTTTTCTTTAAGACCTAGTGCAATGTGTTTGATGTTTCATTTTTATCCATAGTAACATGTTCTGTTGAATTCAAGATTCAGTTTTTCAAGAAGCAAAAGCATTACTGCTATAAATGTATAAACATTACAACCACATTATAAATTTAAAAAGGCTCATGTGCTACTGGGAGTATCTAATCATTATTATAAAGTTATTTCTGTGGGAAAATGTATTCCATGGTAGGACACATTCAAAAGGACACATAGAGGCACTGGAAACAAGTATCCTCTTTCTGTTTCCATGACAGCTGCTGAGAGAATGAGGAAAAGTACTGAAGGGGTAGACTGGGTGCAGGGTATCAGAAGTCTCAACAATGTGGGCAAACATACATGTAGAGACTGAGGGACTGAAGGAAATAGGCATGGGTAGCATCCTGGGATCCATTCTTTTTTTTTTTTTTTGAGACAGAGTCTCACTGTGTTGCCCGGGCTAGAGTGAGTGCCATGGCGTCAGCCTAGCTCACAGCAACCTCAAACTCCTGGGCTCAAGCAATCCTTCTGCCTCAGCCTCCCGAGTAGCTGGGACTACAGGCATGCGCCACCATGCCCGGCTAATTTTTTTTTTCTATATATTTTTAGTTGTCCGATTAATTTCTTTCTATTTTTAGTAGAGACGGGGTCTCGCTCTTGCTCAGGCTGGTCTCGAACTCCTGAGCTCAAACAATCCGCCTGCCTCGGCCTCCCAGAGAGCTAGGATTACAGGCGTGAGCCACCGCGCCCAGCCCTGGGATCCATTCTTGATATCTTCTCATCTCACCCAAGAGGGGTCAAAATGAGAGGTTTCTTGCTAGTCTTACAAACCTGTTTGTTACACAGCTGCTCAGCATATTGGAAGAAGTGAAGCTTACCGAGCAAATCTTGCAAATACATTTGGTGGTTTTAATAATACAAGATTCACTAAAAATTGCTTTTTGATATCAGAGTTTTGAAAGTTCACCTTTAGCTACAAAAGTGATTTCTAGAATCACTTAATCTGTTATTTACAAGATGGTAGTGCTACTTTATATTCAAATTTGTTTGGTATCTCAAAAATCTCAAAGCACTCAGATGCTAACCTAGCAATCACCTGTATTTTATGATTATAATACTCCTATTTCTGTCAAGTACTAAGAACATACAAAAAACAGATATACTATGTTTTTCAAGTAATTTTATGTAATTACAGAAAATAATTAGAAAAATACAAGAGAACTAACCTTGACCAGAAGTTCAGTTACTTCATAATGACCATAAGAACAGGCATTGTGTAATGGCACCAGATCACTACAATGAGAGGGGAAAAAAGTCTGTGTTATTACAGATTCCGAAGGCCTAAGGAAATTTATAAGTTAAGACTTATTTAATTTTAATTACTTAAATAGCAAAATGGCTTATCTGACCTATTTAAAAATGTACAAAATTCAGTAACAGCCATTTGAACCTTAAATCCTGACAATTTAACTGCTAAGTCTCTCTCAAATTCTCCTTCCTTTTTCCCCCACAGCTACGGTCACTGCCTTAGTCTGAACCTATTATTATTTCTCCTCTGCACTACTGAAATAACCCCCACTCCAATTTATTTTCCAAGCTGTGGCCAAATTTTTCTAAAAGGTAAATCTGACATGGCTACTCCTTATTTTAACATCCTTAGTGGTTCTTCCATGCCTTCAAGAGAGGGTTCCAACTTCTTAACATGGCACACAGAATGATCTGACCCCTTCTCCGGCCTTACCCTTCAATAATGGTATACTAAACTTGCAGTTCCCTCTGTCTCTACACATCCTGCTCCCTGCGTGTAGGATAGATTTCTCTCCCTCCTTTGGTCTGGCTCACTTCTACCCTTCTTTTCCAGACTCAGCTCAAACACTGGCTCTTCTCAGAAACTTTTTTGAGATCCTGTAAGATAATTGGCTATATTCCTTAAAAAAACTGAAACCCAGTTCTTTCATGATGGGAATGGAGAAAGAACTTTCTACGTGGGAAGGTACAGTAGAATCTTAAAATTCTTGACTTCTACCTTTAAGCTTCTCCTTCTCCTTGGGATCACTCATTTATAGCTACAGCCACCACCATGTGGCCCCTAGTAAGTTATGGCCACCTGCAATTTAGTCTTTAGTTCTATGTGTCTTCTCTTTAAAGGCTCATGGCTTTCCTTACTATTTCTGAATATAGGATTCCTTACTTGCCTGAGCACCAATTTTAGTCCCAGCTACCTGCTAGATACTTCCACTTGTGTTCCTACCATCATCTCATAAAACAAAGAGCTGTGAAAATGAGCTCAAATTGTCCCCCCCTCAACAATTTTTTCTTCTATATTTCAGTATGTGTACTATTGAATCTCACTCAACTTCACAACCTGAAATGTAGTTTTCTTTTTATTCCTTTCTCTCTCATCACATCCAGACGTTCAATAAATCTCATCCATTCTTACATTGTAATATCTCTTGTATCTATGCCTTCCTTTTCATTTCCTCTGCTACATTATGGACACTCATTATACCTGAACCTTTATAATGCTCACTTTCCTAACTGCTTTTTGCCTCTAGCATCCTTCTCCAACATAGCCTACACATCACTCCAAAATGAACCTCCTAAAACTCTTAGAATAGTCACCCCACCCCCTGCTTCAGATCACAGAATGAAATCTGAATTCCTCAGGCTACAATACCAAGTCCTCAAATGCTTATTTCTCTAACCCTAACCTTCATTTGTCCCTCACATGAATTATCTGCTTCAGCCAAGCTGGTCCAGTCACTGTAATATCTGCTTTAGCATCTCCATTTTATCAATTCTCTTGGAGAGTAATGTTCCCCAAACTCTTTGCTTTCTTGAATTGAGACCTGCCTTTAAGGTATTGGTCAAGTATCCTCTCCTCCCAACCACTCTAGTCATCACCGATAGTTCTCTCCTGAGAATTCCTGTAGTATTATCCCTCTCTATCACTTGGCACTTGGGAGAGATCTCCTGGTATTGTCAGATATCTTTTTCATGCCTCCTAAAGTGTAATGTAAATCCTATGAGTAGTAGGTTTAAGGTTTTATAATCTCCTGTGGCCTCAGGGCAGCAAACAATAAATATTAATGATGTTTAGTTTAAAAAATGATTTTTATACGTTACAAAGATTGTTATAAGGACAGTAACATTTAAGAAATCCTTTTTTGTTCAAATGCTTACCCTTTATCCTTAGCATGGACATCAGCTCCATGTTGCAGTAACAGCTGTACAATCTTTACTCTGTTGTACCCTGCTGCCAAATGCAATGGAGTTGACTGAAATATTAATCAAACAAATTAATGAAATTCAAATAATGGCTGGATAAAATTGTAAAAACCCAAATATAAAACCAGAAAATCCAACTATTACTTCATTGTCTAAATAGTTATCAATTTGGTTTTTATAAAATCCAACATGTATACTGAAGGCATACATAGTATAAAAGTTTTTAAGTTCACCACTGCATATAGGAAGCAAACAACTAAATGTTCATTATCAATAAAGTTTTACTAAGTTGAAGAAT